TGATTGCCACCTCCCCCAACACTCTTCAGGCAGACCTCATTTATTGTGTTTCGTTTTATAGTGCTCCACACGTGTTGTTTTTTACAAAATGAAGGCAAGACTCCCCACCAGCAAAAAGATTATGACTCACTTTATTGTGATACTCACTTTATTATCGTGGTCTGGAACCCAGTCCCACAATATCCCCCAGGTATGCCTGTATTTACCAAAAAGGAAAACCAATTCAACAGTGAATGATTCCATTTTCGCAAAAAAATGTTTCCATTATTAAAATTCAAATGAAGTTTGGCTCATTTAGCATTATACTTTTAAAGGATAAGTCTTTTCTAGAATGGACTTCAAAGCACTAATCACACCCTAATTACAGTATCTTCTCATAGCGAACAAAGTTAAATGTACCTCTTTAAAGTGAGAATAGCAAATTTTAAAATCAGCAAAGCAAGAATTATCCAATAAATACAAAGTAATTTTAGTTATTGTCTTGTGCACTTGTTTTTTCCCCAAATGCTCTAAATGTACATGTAGAAGCTTTAGACACAGAAATAATGATAATAAATGTTATTTTAAAACTAACCAATCTGCAGTTTCAGTACTTCTGATTTATGGGCTAGGAGAGGAAGAAGGTATGTACAATAGGCTGGTAAATTTGGTAGTGATTTAAAAATAAGATCCATTTGTATAAACCCGAAAAAAGTTTATCACAGAGGAGGTAGAAGAGGGTAAAGGGGGGATAAATGGTGGAAGGAGACTTGACTTGGGGTGGTGAACGCACAATACTTAAAAAAAAAAAAAGTATATTAGAAACAATTCATTATTTTCTTAAATATAAAAGAGAAAGTTGTCTAATCTTAGTAAGTATTCAATCATAATAAAATGTATCTTTTAACAAAGGAAGACTTATATTGAAAAGTCCTTAGATTAAAACAGGTTTTCTACTTTGCATTTCTCTAAAGTGCTTTGTGTACACACACACACACACACACACACACACACACACACACACACACACACACACACACACGGCATACAGCTCACTTCTCATTCCATTGAGACAGAGATTAGAACATTTTATTTTACTTTTATCATTAAAAAATTGTGTCATGATCAAATTTTGGCACATGTACGAGTAAATGTATGTTATAGAAATGCTCTTCAAAAATTAGTGTTAAGCCATTTTCATTTTAACAACATTTATTACAAATCACATTTTAAAAACACTAGATAAATTACATATAAAAGTTACACAAAAATATACAGAAGCAAAAACAGTACTAAACCATAAGCAGTACTATCAACACGAGAAATAAGCTAATATAATGCTTACACACGTATAACTTAAAAATTACTAATTTTTCATGAATTCAAAAGCTATTCAGAAAGGAAATGTAGTATACCATAATTGTTAGCAAAGTTTAGAATTATAGAATCAACGACCATAATACTAATTTTTAAAAATCTTTTCAAACATTCAGAAGCCAAATGACTGTCCTTAAAGACAAATTAGACTTGGGTAGTATCTCTTATCTAACTGAAGAAGATAAAAATTTGGGCTTTGGTTAAAAATACTAAATTTAGTGGAAATTTTAAATTAACATCTCCCTTATATGTTATATTCCTGAGTTTTTAATAATGTAATCATGACTAGAAGGAACGTGTTTAATTTAGCTTAACTATGGGAAAAATTAATGCCCTTTGACCACTACCTGCAAAGCTCATTTGTAAATTATGATCAAAATTATATTAAACCTGTTGCCCCTTTGTTTTTGCATCTTATGAAGTCACTTTGATTTAAAGGAGAGGTTGATTATGTAGTAAATGTAGAGTGCTCTTAAAGAAGATTGAAAGGAGGAATTGAAACTGTCATTATTCACAGATAACATGATATTATATATAGAAAACCCTAAAGACCCCACCAAAAAACTACTAGATTTAAAAAATGAATTCAGCAAAGTAGCAGGATACAAAATTAACATGCAGATATTGATGACATTTTTATACACCAATAATGAAGAACTCTAAGAAAGAGAAACTAAAAATAACCGAAAACAATCCCATTTACAATTTCAACAACAACAAAAGAAACCTTGGAATAAAACTTAACCGAAGAGGTAAAAGGCCTGTACTTGGAAAACTACAGGATGTTGAAAAAAGAAATAAAGGAAAATACAAACAAGTGGAAGAATATACTGTTTATGGATTGGAAGAATTAACATCATTAAAATGTCTGCACTACCCAAAGCAATCTATAGATTCAACACAATCCCTTATTAAAATACCAATAATGTATTTCACACATCTAGAACAAATACTCCAAAAATGTACATGGAACCAAAAAAGACCCCGAATAGCCACAGCAATCTTGAGAAAGAAGAACAAAGTTGGAGGGATCACAATAGCGGATATCAAATTATATTACAAAGCCACTGTAATCAAAACAGCCTGGTACTGGCACAAGTACAGGCATTTAGACCAATGGAACAGAACAGAGAACCCAGAAATCAACCCAAGCCTTTACGTTCAATTAATATTTGACAAAGGAGGCAAGAGCACACAATGGAGTAAAGACAGTCTCTTCAATAAATGGTGCTGGGAAAATGGACAGGTACATGCAAAAAAATGAAACTAAACCACCAACTTACACCATTCACAAGAATAAATTCAAAATAGATAAAAGACTTAAATGTAAGTCATGAAACCATAAAAATCCTAGAAGAAACCATAGGCAGCAAAATCTCAGGCATCTCTCATAGCAATGTTTGCCAATATATCTCCTAGGGCAAGGGAAACAAAGGAGAAAATTAAACAAATGGGACTACATCAAAATAAAAAGCTGCGGCACAACAAAAGAAACCATCAACAAAATGGAAAGGAATCCCATTGTATGGGAGATCATATTTGCCAATGATACATCTGATAAGAGGTTACAATCCAAAATATATAAGGAACTCATACAACTTAACAAAAGGAAGACAAACAATCCAATTAAAAAATGGGCAAAGGACCAAAATAGACTCTTCTCTAAAGAGGACATACAGATGGCCAAGAGATATATGGAAAAATGCTCAGTCAATAATCATCAGAGAGATGCAAATTAAAATGACAATGAGGTATCACCTCACACCTGTCAGAATGGCCACCATCAACAAATCAAATAAGTGTTAGTGAGCATGCGGAGAAAAGGGAACCCTAGTTCACTGCTGGTGAGAATGAAGACTGGTGCAGCCACTATGGAAAACTATGTGAAGATTCCTCAAAAAACTAAAAATGGAACTGCCATTTGACCCAGTGATCCCACTTCTAGGAATATATCCTAAGATTCCCGAAACACTAATCAGAAAGAATATATGCACCCCTATGTTCACAGCAGCACTATTTACAATAATTAAGATTTGGAAACAGATCTTAACAAGTGCCCATCAGTAGATGAGTGGATGAAAAAACTGTGGTACAGAAGGATCTCTTGCCCTTTGAGACAGCATGGATGATGGATCTGGAGAGCATTATGCTAAGTGAAATAAGCCAATCAGAGAAAGGCAAGTATCACATGATCTAACTTACATGTGGAACCTAATGAACAAAATAATCTGATGAACAAAACAGATCTAGAGACATGGAAGCATGGAACAGACTGATGAATCTCAGAGGGAAGGGGGAGGGGGTGTGGGGAGAGATTAACCAAAGAATTTATATGCATATGTGCATAACCCATGGACACAGGCAATAGTGCAGTAGGCCTGGGGGATGGAGATCAATGAGGGAAAAAAGGGACATCTGTAAGTACTTTCAACAATAAAGATAAATTTTAAAAAAAGATTGAAATAATGCAATGCTAATGGTTAGCATAAGGCCAGGCACAGGATAAGTGCTCAATATTACTAATTTCAAGTGAAAAGTATATATACATATATATATGTATTATATATATATTATAAATTATTGATTTCAGAGAGAGGAAGGAAGAGGGAGAGAGAGAGAGAGAAACATCAATGATGAGAGTCATTGATAGACTACCTCCTGCAACCCACCTTCGGGGGATTGAGCCCGCAACCTGGGCATGTGCCCCGACTGGGGATCGAACCTCGATCTTCTGGATCCTAGGTCGATGCTCAACCGCTGAGCCATGCTGGCCAGGCGAAAAGTCTTTTAATGTATTACTTCTGGACATCAACACAATTCAGTGTAGTAGTTATAAATTAATATGAAAATATCCAAAAAACAGTTTAAACATGAAAATACATTTTTAGTAACAATCATAAGAGGAATTTTTACAAGTGGCTATTTTCAGTCTTGGTTTTATCAAAATAGAATTAAATTTAAGGTTCTTTTAAAAAATAGACCTATAAAAGCTTATTTCCTATTAGCTGCTATATGAGAAGTAGATGGTAGGTACAGTTACTTTACACAAGATCAGCCTCTCAATGTCTTCTGAACTGATTACTTCAGATTACAATAAACCCCTTAAAACAGAGTTTTCCCTGGAGGCTGAATTGGTGCATCTGGGAACTGGGTCCCTTATTGGACTTTTAAACAAGTAGCTGTCCCTTGCCTCCTGGTAAATTATTATGGTAGGCTGATTTGGAAAATAATGCTTTAAAGTAACCAAAATAATTTTTATCATGCTGGAAAATTACTTGATATGAATGGCATATCTAATGAAAATAAAATTTATCTAGCTTTTTAATCTGCATAGTTTATCATCATGCCTAAGTATTTCTTACCTAAACATCACAAGGTTTTATTCTGATTCTCCTAGTATCCCACAAGAGTTGATAAAACAGTAATCACCTTTTTGAAAACTGCTGGTGATTGGGCCTCTATAGTTTTAGTGTTACATATACTTTTTCTTACCAGGAAACAGAAGAGTCACCTAGCAGTTGTATTAAAAAACTAAAGAGGGTAGAAATTATTCAAATAATCATACTACTCAAAAAGTAGTCTTTAAACAGCTATACAAACATCAGTTAGTAGAGCTACTTGCAAAACCAGTTATCAAATACCTATTAACTTAAAAATTCAATTTACAAAGTATTATGTCAAGTATGTGTACAAAATCTCATTTGCCATAGTATGCAACTAGGAAGCAATTCTTTGATTGGATGTGTGTACATGAAAGAATGCATATAGGTTCATTCCAATTGATCAACTAGTAACAAATCCCTCTAAGTTAAAAAAGAAAATAAGCAATGGAATATATTCTCAAACAAATATTATGGAGCACTGAGGAAAGTTTAAATTATTAGACATTTGAAAGAACATTTAATTAGGATTAAAATCATGAACTGTTAGCCACTTCTATTTTCTAATAACAGTATCATATGCAGAGAATCAAAATGCAAGTTTATCGAAGTGGGTTAAATAGTTTTTAAGCTGATTAAAACTACTTAATTTAAAATGGACTATTTTTTTCTCTCAAGTAAATGATGCAATATTTAAGAATTTATTGAAGAATTAGCTTTAACAATATTAGCCTTAGTAAAAGCCATTGCTAATACACAAATTGAGAAGGGCTTTAATACCAAGTCCCTGGTTCCATGATGCACTTCATATTCCCATCTGTATATCGGCAAAGTTGTAGAAGCCGTCTATATCTTTAGACGCTGTCTCCTTGTTTTGTGATACAAATGTCTATTTTAAATATAAAAGAAACAAAAATAAATACTACTAATCCCCAAATTCCAAAGCCCAAGTTCTCCACAGAACAAAGTCACAAGCTTGCTATTTAAAAGAAATACAAATATATCGTTTATAATATTTAATGTGTAGATTTTCTGTAGAATCCATGCAATATAGTTTCAATAGGTATAATGTAAATTGAGCTCCTTTAAAAGTACTTACTTATGATTTAATTAAGGTCTTTGCTTTCATAATACTTCATTTGTATTTTATTACACCTGGAATTTTACTGTTTTTAAATATACAACACTCAATATTATGAAAGCTACTGAATAAAGCATTGTATTTAAAAAACTCTTAGTTTCTTCTGTTTTCTAGAAACAATTTCAGTAGGCTGAGAAGTAAAACTTGAGATTATCTTTTTAAAAAGCTGCTAAAGATATATTACTAATTTAAAATGAACTATTTTCTGAACAACAATAAAGCAGTACTCAATAGGACCATTCAAAAATAGCATTTACAAATAGGAAACAGAGGAGATCTGAGTTCCATTCTAGCTTTATAATAAACTAGCTGTATGATGCAGAAAATTAAATAAACCTCTCCTAGGCTCAGTTTCCACATCTGTAAAATGAGAAAGATGGATTAGATAATCTTTAACTCATTCAGACCTAAAAACATAACATATAACCATTTTCTCTCTGTTTCCTTTTCTATTCAATCTGATTATATTTTCCCTCAACCTTAATAGTATGTGATGATAAAATGAGATAAAAGACAAAATACTTTAAATTATGCAAATTCAAGGAACCATAAGCCAAATTAGACTATAAAAAACAAAAATTTCCTCTCATTTATGAAAAATCATATATATATATATACACACACATTTAATCTTCTTATATGTTTGGTTTTTGAGTTATATTAAGTCTGAAATTCTTAAATATGCAACCTCATCAACATATGTAGAAAATACCTATATGTAATGATTTATAGATAAAGCTCCAGTTCAATTTTTGAGGAAGCATTACTGAAACAAATAAAAGCAAACATGGCAATGGGATCCTCTGTCTAAAGTATATAATCTTAGAAATACAGATAAACCCATCATAAGTTAAAAATATAAGTTGAAAATGCATTTTATACACCTAACCTACTGAACATCATAGCTTAGCCTAGCCTACCTTAAACATGCTCAGAACACTTACATTAGCCTACAGTTGGGCAAAATCACCTAACACAGTGAATACACCCTGTAGAGTATTGGTTGTTCACCCTCTTAATGGCTGGGCTGACTGGGGCTGTGGCTCCCTGCAGCTGTCCAGCTTATGAGAGTGTAAGGTAAAGCATATCGCTAGAAGTATGGTTCCTACTGAATGCCTGTCACTTAAAGTCGAAAAATCATTAAGTCAAACCATCCATATAACATTTTTAATATATCATTCACTATTTTTAAAAAAGTACTTGACGAAACATTTGGTGAGACTTTTTACTTTAGAAACTTAAGTATTATTGAAAGTTTTTAAGAAGTACAGTGGTACCTCGGTTTTCGAAGGTCTCCTTTGACAAACATTTAGGGTTACGAATGCTGTAAACCTGGAAGTAAATGCTTCGGTTTCCAACACACCTCAGAAGTCGAACATGCCACACAGCTTCCGCTGAGGGCAAGATCCTGAGGCCTAGCTGTCAGCTGTTGATCCTTTGGTTTTTGAACGTTTCAGAACTTAAACGGTCTTCTGGAACGGATCACATTTGAAAACTGAGGTACCACTGTACATTCTTATTTTATAAATTTGTAAGCCATTAATATTTTAGTTTGGCGAGGAAAAAACAAAGCTTAGCTTCCAATTATTTATCGTAGGTTCTAAAAGTCATGATCTGCCTTTTTTTAAAAATTCCATGCAACACTAGGGCTAAAAAGTACCATTTGATTGTAAGGAAAAGGAAATGAAAAGTTTTGATTGAAATATAAATACTAGTTGGTCCCAGAACCCTGCCCAGGAGGTGGGGAAGTCACGTGCAGCTCACCTGGTCTGTAGCTCCAGGCAGTTGTGAAATGGGGAATTCAGGGGTGGGGGTTTTGAGGGATGCAAGGGTCTGGAGCTGATTTGGGGTACTTAAGGGATTCTGGGGGTTCTCTCTGGAAGGTGGAAGATTAATGGGGATGCTGGGAGTCCTATAAAATGATGATCCTAGGGTCCTGGAGGTATCTCAGGAGTAGGTTGGATTCTGAGGTTGTCCCTGAGAGCATGGACTTTTATGGACCCCTGGGGTTTCCTCAGAGGTGAAGAGGCCTCTAGATTACTGGGGTTTGCTTTGGGAAATGAGGTATCCCCAGATCATTGGGAAGTTTGGAAGACAGATATTTCTGGAACCTTGGGGATCTCTCTGGAAAATGGGTTGGAGGGGAGCCCTGGCATTTGCTCAAAGGTGGGGGCATTTTTATAGCCTTACTGTTCACAGTACAAGTCCCTATTTTTCTGGAAACTTCCTGAGGGAGGTCTTTAGGTCCTTGGGGTGATTTGTAAGATTAAAAGGAGAGTTGTTCTAGAGTCTTGGGGTTCACCCCTAGGAATGGGGGAGAGGGATGTTTCCAGAAGCCTACTAGGAGCTTTTCACAGAGGTAGAGGGTCTTGGAGAGCCCTTGAGAAAGAGTCTGGGATCCTTGGAATACCTTGGGGTTATTCAGGGGCCCGGTGCTTTTCTCAGAGATGATATTGGGAGATGTGAGATGACACACATGAGCTTTAGGGGGTCTATGAGGCTGAATTTCCTGGAGACTGATTTGAAGGTAGCCAGAGATGCTGGAAATTCTCTCTGGCTCTGAAGCAGTCTATCCGAAGTTGTCCCTGCCTTGCCTGACATGTGCTCCTTCTAGGTCACGAAAAGAAGCCCTGGATTCTGGGGACCTGTGGATAGGGTGTCTGTTTTCGACCAAAGCACATTTTTTAAAGAGTGCCACGCCCAGGCTGGGGTTTGGGAGGTGGAGCTGGCTCAAACCAGGGCAGTCTTCAAGGAGAACCCTGTTATTGTGGGGAGCAAAGGACAGGACCTTGACCCTATGTAAGTGCCCGAATAGAGGCTGCCAGCAGGTTGGAGTGTCAGGGGAGAGGTCAGGGCCTGCTTTGCAGTAGAGCTACTCCAAGCAGCCCAGGCAGGGTGCCCTCTCACCAGGAGAATGCGGTCCCAGGAGAATACCTGGGGTCTTCAAGGAATGTCTGGGCCAGTGGCCAGGAGAGCAGCAGTGCTGAGCCATGCTGAACTCAGTTCAAAAAGGGGCTAAAAAAGAAGAAATACAGTCAATGAAATCTTGTACCTTGGTACTCTTGAATATCTCGTTGACAACAATTTGACATTCTTCTACAACACCATCTCCATTAAACTCCAAGGCAATAACAGGACCTATAAGCAAACCGAAGAAGTGCTGTCTTATCAAGAATACAAATCTATTCTGAAATTAATCTTTTTGTTTTTCTCTGAAGAATCTCTAGCCTCTTTGGAAGTAAAAGAAAAGGATGAAGGAAGTAGATAGACGGGACACAGCATTTCAGCTATGAGAGGGAGGGAGAGGGAGAGGGAGAGGGAGAGAAAGAGAGAGAGATGAGAGAGACACATAGATTGGTTGCCTTCTGAATGAGCCCCGACTGGGGATCAACCCTGTAACCTGGGTATGTTCCCTGACCGGGAATCCAACCTGCAAGCTTTTGGTGCATGGGACAATGCTCCAACCAACTGAGCCATACCAACCAGGGTGACTATCACATTTTTAAGTGTTATAAATAGTCTGGCTTTTCTGGTTTTCATTCATCTATAAAAACCATAAAAAGCCCACCCATTTAGCATTACAAAAAACAGTTGACAAAATGACAAAAAAGGTCAAAAGCAATTCAACATAAGTAGATTTTGCCAGGCAGCCAGCCTTACTTCCAACTCTCCTACTTACCAGCCAAGTTCTGGGCTACCAATAATGAAGCTAAGCCAAGTAGGAATTGAGGCCAGGCACCAAAAGTAATGACTATGTGAAGTATTTTTCTCGAGTGTGCCTTAAAACTATATTCTAGATCCAATGACCAAATGTTTTATTTGTTTTCATTCTCTGAATAGAATATTTATGCTTCCTTTCCCATACATTAATTTGTATACTTTTAAACCACCTGCACTTTAAGTTCTGGATTTAAATGTAGCACTGACACTACCAATGTCAAATTGGTGACAAACATAAGTCAGCCAGGCAAAATATGCCCTTCAATTCAATTAATATTTATTCAGCTATCACTGTATTCTTAATAGATTTGCTTTTTGTCTCCTACAGTAATGGAGAAGTCCTGACCTCCATGAAATTACAAATTTCTTGAAAAAAGACATAAACCCATTAAACAAATACAGAACAACAGAGAATGATGAAGTACTAAGTAATGAAATACTAAGGTGAATGTAGTCATGTGCCACAGGGCAAGGTACAAGAATGAGAGAAAAGATCACACTACACTGGGCACCAAAATAACTGAGGGTCTGTGATTTAGTACAGGCAACAAATACAGAAAAGATAGGATATATCAACAGTCGACTATACAATTAGATAAAGAGAACAAAATAAAGTGTGAGTTTCAGCATCACAGTGTGTAAATCAAGACAGGTGCTGAATAAAGAAAAGAAGGTAACTGGGGAACCTTTTCTCAGAAAAATGAATGATTCTGTGTCTAAGGCAAGAAATGGGTAAGATCAACGTGGAATACCTTGTTGAAACAAAAAGCAATGAGGCTGCCAAAGGCCAATGGGGTTGTATCAAAAGGACACAGGAGCCAGCTTCAAGGAGCTCCCAATGGCCAAAGATGAGACTCAATGAGATCAGAATAGTGACAGCTAAAATTTATTAAAACATACTGAATATATGAAAAGTCATGAGCTCATAAGGGTATTTAGAAAAGAGAGTAACAAACAAAATTCACTGGATACCAATGTAGGTTGCTAGGGCACCAAATCATTACTCTGAAAATTGATGCTTAATCATTTCCCTTTATTTATTTTTCTTTTCTGATATGAAGCATATTTCAAATTAGCCAAACAGTTCTGGTGCACAAGAAGTTCTAACATCCATTAATAAATACAGAGGTAGTGACACCATTAGAAAATGATCAGTTTGCAACTCCCAATAAAATAATTGGCTCAGGCAACAATCATCAATGTTTTTAGCATCCCACAGGGAACACTGACAGGAAATTTCAACAAGAAGATTGTCACCATTGGAACTTAATCAATTTTAGTATCACTAAAAGCGCAATAATCAAACGTTATGTGCCCTCTCATGTAATGATATAGGAAATAGTACCACCTGTGAAATATTCTTGCCAAAAAAACCCCTAAGAGTGAGTGTAAACAAGGCTTTGATCTAAGTTGTAGTTTACAAGAAAGGTAGAGGAACAAATTAAACAAACCCATGCACACTACAGGACAACTGACCAGGTTTTTTTTTGGTTTTGTTTTTTTTTTACAAGACAAGGGCATGAAACAAAAAGGGGTAGAGGAACACCTGTTTCTGGTTAAGAGAAATACAAGATACAAAACAATGAGTGGGACAATTTTAGATCTGGATCAAATTAACTGTAAACATACATAAAGAATGTTTTTAGACAGGGAAATTTGAATATGGACTGGGTATGAGATTAAGGAATTGTTAATCATGATAGATGTGATAATATATTGTGGTTACTTAAAACATCTATTTTTAATTTTGTTTCATTAAGAAGACACTCATTGTAATATTTAGGGGTGAAATGACAAGACATGTTAAAATTTGATTAAAATATTTCAGCAAAAGGAGAGTACAAAACTTTTAAAGCAGGGCAAAAGTTGATAAAATGGGGATGGATACACATGGGGTCATTGTACTCTATACTTTTGAATAGAGATAGTACATTTGGAAATTTGCAAAAGAGTTTAAAAAGCACTTTAAACCACATAAATACTGAACTAAAAAGAAAACGTTGATAATAAATGTAGGGTTTCCAGCTTTGCAGAAAGTGGAAAATTCGAATTAAGGTAGAATTTGGTATGCTTTTAGTCGGGATCAGTACAAGGATATACAGTAGACATATTTTTTTAAGTTAGACATTTATTACTGAAAGTTCCTGTATTCTACAAAGACAACAGAGTTCAGAATTCAGAAATCCAATTTTGGTAGAATTACCCAAGTATGTAACTTGGTTGATATTTTTTTAATAGAATATTATGAACTTCTGATAAGTGACCTAATAATTTGCCAAAAAACAATCACTAACAAAAAAGGTAGATACATGCATCAATTTTGATTAACATGTATGGATAATCCTAAATTAAAAAAACTACAATGCTGACTGTACTTTTTAAGCAGACCTATTTGTCTTTCTATCTAATAATAATGACTACAATTACTGTGATTATTTCAAACTGAGCTATGAGGTCAACAAGGATCATTAGTCATGTTTTTAGTGTTTTAATGTGAACGTCTTATCAAATAGTTCGCAGGAGCTTTAAATCTAAATATTTGAACTATCATAAAAGATTGTGAGACTTTGAAGTAAAAAAGATTCCTGAGTGTCCTATCTAATAAACTCTTCTGTGTAATCTAACATGGCCTTGGAACAAGCCTCTATCATGTCTCAATTAGATTACAGAAAAAGCCTCCCAGATGGTTCTCTGCTTCCCCCTTAGAGCAACCAGAATGATAAAAGTTACATTTTAAAGGGATCATGACATTCTTCTGCTCTAAAGCCTCCAGTAAAATATTATCTATATTTTTATTATTTTTAAAGTAATAACATTGACAACATATTAAATATTTATAGCATATGCAACAGTAAAATATAGGGTGTCCCCCAAAAATGTATACACGCTTTGAATGATTATGAAGTCAATGTTAATTAACATACAGTTCATTTTCAGACTGATGACCGTTCTGGTCCAGGCACTGCTGATAATGTGAAGCAACAGAATTGCAAACATCAAGAATCATTTTGTTCGGTATTTGCGTGCCCTCAATTTGTCAACTGTTGCTGGTTTTGTACAGTAAACTTTATCTTTTATGTATCCCCATTTAAAAAAAGTCTAGTGGATAAATTTTCTTTGTTTAAAGCTTAGTCTGACTTCACCCATTATTTCAAATCAGTCAAACCTGAAAAGGAGTGAAAATTAAGCATCCCCCCCAAAAATGTATACACACTTTGAATAATTATAAAAGCAGGGTTTGTACTTCAACTGTGTTTTCAAACTTCCAGTAGCATTTTAGGATGAATTTCCTTTGTTCAAAGCTTAGTCTGACTGAAAAGAAAGAAATATCAACTGAGCTATCAGCTGTTAAAGTGAGTATACATGTTTTTGGGACACCCTGTATATAATAATGACAGGAATGAGAGGGAAGATTTGAGTATATAATGTTATTAGGACCCTATATACTATAAATGAAGTGGTATAATATTACTATAAGGTAGACTCAAATGATTTAAATATATATACTGTAAGACCTAAGGCAACCATCACATAAAAGGTCAATAGAGAGGATGGAATTATTAAAAAAGCAGCCAACTAAACAAAAAGAGGCAACAAGAAACAAAGAACAAATGGAACAGAAAGCAGCTAGCAAGATGGTAGATGTTGACCCAACTATATCAATACCTTTCAATGTGAATGGTCTAAACACACCAGTTAAAAGACAGAGATTGGCAGATAGAATTGAAAAGCAAGAACCAACTATATGCTGTTTACAAAAAATTCACTTTAGGTATATAGAGTTCGATAAGTTAAAAGAAAAGAGATAAAGATATATGATGAAACACTAACAACCAAACAAAAGTTGGAGTAGCTATATATCAGACAAAGTAGATTTCAGAACAAGGAAGATTATGAGAGACAAAAAAGGACATTACATAATCATTAAGGACTCTCCAAGAAGACATAACAATCCTAAATGTGTATGCATCTAACAACCAAGTTTCAAAATAACAAAGCAAAACCTGATAGGATCTGAAAAGAGAAACAGACAAATCCACAATTATAGTTAGATATATATTTTGTAAATCCTCACCTGAGGCTATTGTTTCCATTGTTGTTGTTTTTTAGAGTAAGTGGAAGGCAGGGAGGGAGGCGGAGAGAGAGAAACATCGATGTGAGAAAGACACATCCATTGGTTGCCTCCCGCATGCACCTTTACCGGGGCCAGGGATCAAACTGGCAACCCAGGTATGTGCCCTTGATCAGGAATCGAACCTGCGACCCTTTGGTGGATGGGCCAATGCTTCAACCACTGAGCTACACCGGCCAGGGCTATAGTTGGAGATTTTGACACTCCTCTCTCTCTAATTCATAGAACAAGTAGGCAGAAAATGAGTAAGGATATAGATGACCTGAATAGAACTATCAACCAAATTGACCTAGTGGACATCTATAGAACATTATACCAAACAAAACCAGATTATATATTTTTACATGTATATAGAATATTCACCAAGATACACTATATTCTGTGCCACAAAACAAACTTTGAATAAAGAAAATAGAAATTATACAATGTATATTTTCGGACCATAATAGCATTAATCTATAAATCTATTACAGAAACACATCTGGACAATCTCCAAATGTTTGGAAATTAAACAATATATTTCTAGATAATCCATGGATCAAGTGAAAAGTCTCAAGGGAAACTAAAAAAATATTCTGAACTACATCGGGGGGTCAACAACATATGTTTTCTGTAAAGGGCCAGATAGGAAATCTGCAGAACAATTGATACGATAATGATTGTGGCTGTGCTCCAAATAAAACTTCATTTATAAAACATACAGTAGGCCATATTTGCCAAACCCTGAATTAAATGAAAATGCATCATATCAAAACTTGCAGGATGCTTAAAGGAAAAATTTTAACATGAAATACATATACAGTTGATCCTCATTATTTGTGGATTCTTTATTTGCGAATCTGCCTACTTGGCAAAATTTACTTGTAACCCTCAAATTGATACTTGCAGTTTTTTCATGGTCATTTGTGGACACACACAGAATGGCAAAAAAATCTGAGTTGCCTGACATGCATGTTCCCAGGTGAAGATGAACAAAGTGATGTTCTGCCTTTTTGTTTCAGCATTCATTCTGTAAACAAGTGTCCTTTTCACAGTGATTTTGCCATTTAAAATGGCCCACAAATGTAGTGCTGAAGTGCTGTATAATGTTCCTAAGCTTAGGAAGGCTGTGATATGCCTTACCGAGAAAATATCTGTTAGGTAAGCTTCATTTATGCCTGAATTATAGTGCTACTGGCTCTAAATTCAATGTTAATGAATCCATTATATACACTAAAAAGGTGTCTTTCAATCAGGGATGGGGAACGTCTGGCGAAATCATTTGGTCTGTCCCTGCCAAGGCAACCGCAGACAGGACTTGAACGTCAATAAATCTAGGAGCTTTTTCACAGCTAATTTTTAAGTTGATAATTTTATATGGCCCTTGAATGATGTTATAAATATCCAAGTGGCCCTTGGCAGAATAAAGGTTCCCCACCCCTGCTTTAAATAGACACACATAGGACAAGGTTATATACTGATTTGCTTTATCATATGCTACATGTGCGCATATGCACACTTCGTTTAGCTTTTGCTGAGCCATTGGAAAACAGCAGACCTTACTCTTCAGCATGCATCTCCTATATAACCACACCACCATTATCATACTTAAGGATACTGATAATAATTCCATGATATCATCTTCAAACTTCCTCAGTTTTCCCAAAAATGTATTTTACAGCTTTACAGCTCACCCTACTCCAATCCAAGATCAATCAAGTTTCATTCCTTGCATTTGGTTGTTATATTTCTTTTATTACAGAATTCACCTCTTATTTTTGTTTGCTTTCCAGGATGTTGTCTGAAGAGGCCTAGCCAGTTGTCTTGTAGAATGTCTTCTATTTTGGATTTGTCTCATTGTTTCTTCATGGTGTCATTTAACATTTCCCTAGATTTCCTTTCTTTCCTATAAACTGTAAGTTAAGTCTTGGCTCGATAAGATTCAGGTTAAATATTTTTGGCAAGAATACTTCATGGGTAATGTTATATATTTTTTACTGTGTCACATCACAAGAAATACAATGTCAGGCTGCCCTACCATCAGTAATGCCAAGTTTGATCACTGGGTTAATGTGGTGATCCCCAAATCTCTGCTGTAAAGGTATACTTCCCCTTTGAATTAGAATATATAAATGTCCTATTTCTTATCACCTTTTACCCCCATAATTTTAACATCTACTGATAATCTTTGTCTGAATTAATCATTATACTGGGGGTTGGAAAATGGTGATTTCCAAAGTCTATCATTTCTTCTACTTTTATTAGCTCACAGTATTCTGTAAAGAGCAGAAGAGCTTTCCTGTATTCCCTCCCTCCTTTTTAAAAAATATGTTTTTATTGATTTCAGAAGGAGAGGGAGAGAGAGATAGAAACATCCATGAGAGAGAAACATTAATCAGCTGCCTTCTGCACGCCCCTATTGGGGACTGAGCCCAAAACCCACCCAGGCGTGTGCCCTGACCAAGAATTGAACCTGCGACTTCCTGGTGCATGGGACGACGCTCAACCGAGTCACACTGGCAACCCCCCCTTTTTATTATCACTATGGATGTATGGGTTTCTGTTGTTAAATCAGTTCCCTTCACTATTCTTTTTGATGCTCAAATTGTCCCAAATTTGGCCAGTGGAAACTCCTTCAAGCTGGCTCCTATGACCTTTAGACATGACTTCATTAGTGTTTGAGTACTTCCTATGGGCATCTCTGGTTTTAAGAGCTGTTTGTAGGATACTTATTTGCTGAAATTCCTATAACATCTGCCTACTGGTTTTAGTTGTACTTTGTTTTTAATGTTTTCATTGATTTCAGATAGAAGAAGGGAAAGAGATAGAGATATCAATGATGAGAGAGTTATTGATTGGCTGCCTCCTGCACACCCCTCACTGGGAATTGAGCCTGCAACCCAGGCATGTGCCCTGACCAGGAATCTAACCATGACTTCCTGGTTCACAGTTCAATGCTCAACCACTGAGCCATACCGGCCGGGCTAGTTCTACCTTTTGCGGGTACAGAACATTGTAGTTTTTCCATCTGGAATGTTGTGTTACTTAAACGCAGACATTGTATTTGGGTTAGGGCAATTTGATGAAACCACTTCACTAACATTTACGTGAGTATATAAATCATTAATGTAGACCTACTCATATGCTCAATTCATCCCTGATACTCACATTTTAGGAAACCCATTACACTTATTACTTGATTAAATTTCTGAAAGCTGCTGCAAGTTTAAAGGTTCATTTTCAAGGTTCAATCAGAATGCTCCCATGTCAAAAGGGTTGCATCAAAGGAGCTAGGTCTTAATTTCGTACATATAATCTAGTAGATATTCATGCTCTGGCTTGGAGCAAGTTCTTGATACTATTACAGTAACCACAAAAGTATATGAAATACTGTATTAACACTTAAGGGCTGAGTCACACCCAGCATTAGTTATTAAAATTATCTTAACAATCCTCCAACATTTTCATACAAGGTTTTGTAGTTTATTAAACTTATTTATACATAAAGAACATATTAATGCAGGTGTGCTGTCTTTATAGGGTATACCCAATCAGTATTGCATATTATTCTACATATTTGCTCAGCCCACTCAAGAAGTCTGAAGGGCCTTAAGCAAACAATGTTCCCACTCAAAGAAAAGCAGTACTCTGTCCACCTTCAATACAGAAGGGCACACCAACTCTAGTTCCTCTGTTTGGAGACATATTTCCAGTATCTGAAATTTATTGGTAGCATTTGCCCACTGGGAAAAACAATCCTAATTATGCATGGCAAGTTAATCAATCATATCAAATACATAAATATGATAGCATTTTATTTATAGTTCTTACTTTTCATGTATGTTCAAAGCACACCAAAGACAGAAATAATCCTTATCAAGTGCTTTGTAATCCTGGGCAGGGAGGATGAAATGGCCACTCAGTATAGTACAACAATACAACAATAATAAAATAATTAAAAAAAATAATAATAAAGCGCATAAATGTGACTTTTCAGTACTAAGACAATAGAATAAAGGAAAGACAATAGGAAAAAAATGTAATGTCTGATTTCGAACATTTCTGAATAGTAGTAGGAAGAAAACATAAAACAAATGAGAAAGAGAAGGCAATGTAAGAGAAAAGCTAAAGGCCAGAGTAAATCAAATCAGCACGTCAAGAGGACAACCACAGAAATATACCAGTCATCCAGAAGGTACCTTTGTTCAGAAGATGAAGGAATTCAGGTGCTCTTTCCTGAAAAACCCTTTGAGCATCCTCAGCTTTCATTGATACTTCCTTTGTCTGAATCAGGAAAAAGCCTGAACGAACCATCTGTGGAAAATAGAATTTCACTTAGATTTTAAAAAGACCTTCTGAGATTAAAACAATATTTCCTAGTATTTTTCTGTATAAAATGTGACACAGCACACTGATTTTTGTTTTAGTTATAACTCTAATTCAGAGTGTTTGCTGTAACATGTTTTCACATATATAACATTCTTTCTTCCAGATGGGTGGTTCTGGTTAAGAACTAGTACTACAATGCCTATGCTAAGATAAAGAGTCAAACAAATGTTAATGATCCCTCGAAATTTTAAACATAATTAAAAATTTTTTGACTGAAACTAACAGATGGAAACCTTAGTTTGGTGATACAACAAAATGTCCAATGAAAGGAGAATGGTTAAGTAAATTATGTTACACTGTCATTAAACATAAATAATAAAATGGAGAAAAGCTTACGTAACAATGATAATTTTTAAAAGCATGATACAAATTTATAGAGTATAGCACAATAATGATAGATTACATTTATGGAGTACTTACTTTGTACCAGGCAGTTTTATGCACTTTAGGTGTATAATACACTTAACCCTCTCAGGAAGTAGGTACTATTATTATCCTCATTTTACAGATAAGAAAACTAAGGCACATAGTGGTTAAGAAACCTGCCCAAGGTTACACAACTATTAAGTAACAGAGTTGTGATTAAAATCCAATTAATCAAATACTACGCAGCTGTATAAAAGAAGGATCTCTTACCCTTTGCAACAGCATGGATGGGCCTGGAGATTATTATGCAAAGTGAAATAAGCCAATCAGAGAAAGACAAATATCACACGATCTCACTTATTTGTGGAATCTAATGAACAAAACTGACCAACAAAATAAGTCCCGAGACATGGGGGCGTGGAACAGACTGACATATCTCCGGGGGTGGTAGTGGGGGGAGAGGTTAACCAAAGAACTTATATGCTTGTATGCATAGCCCATTGACACAGACAATAGTGTGGTGAAGGCCTGGGGTGGGGTGTAGGGGTTAGGTAAAGGGGAGGGGGCGGGAATGGGAGACATCTATAGTATTGTCAATAATAAAA